AGGTAACAATCAACAGCTTTCCTAAAACTCTGGCTCTGTCCTTGGCAGGGAGCACTGGAAAGACGCCACTGATGGCTTCCTGGAACAAAGGCTTCTACTGTGGGTCTTGGCAGAGGTGGGAGGTGGGGAGGGGTGGGGGCACAGGTGCATTCTTGGATGGTCTGTTGCTTACGCTGAGGGCGTTTTAGGCTGTTGCGTTTTTTCCATAGGAAGGTTTTTGTCCCCTGCTTCTCAGTTTCTTCTATAGTTTAACACAGAAATAAGGTAAAAGGAAAACCCCACCTCGCACCTGTGTTGCCCTTTGCAATTCGACAGTTATAGTGGTTGGTTTCACAGACAAAACCTGCTCCACCTCCTGTGTTTTTTTTTTTTTTTTTTTTTTTGAGACAGAGTCTCACTCTTTTGCCTGGGCTAGAGTGAGTGCCGTGTCGTCAGCCTAGCTCACAGCAACCTCAAACTCCTGGGCTCAAGCGATCCTTCTGCCTCAGCCTCCTGAGTAGCTGGGACTACAGGCATGTGTCACCATGCCCGGCTAATTTTTTCTCTATATTTTTAGTTGTCTGATTAATTTCTTTCTATTTTTAGTAGAGACGGGGTCTCGCTCTTGCTCAGGCTGGTCTCGAACTCCTGAGCTCAAACAATCCGCCCGCCTTGGCCTCCCAGAGAGGTAGGATTACAGGCGTGAGCCACCGTGCCCGGCCCTACAACCATTTCTAAAAAGCTTAATTGGCAAAGCTATCTCACTCTGCTGAGTGGAGGAGGTGGAATATGTCTGACAGGAGGCATCATTGATGGGCAGAGGACTGGACAGGCGTCTCTCCCAACCCACAGAGCTGTCCTTGGTGGGGTTGGGCTACACTTAACCCTTCTTGGAGCACGCAGGACTTTGATTTGCTGGGCGAGAGGGAATTCTAAAGCTGGCCAGGCAGCCACAGTCACTCAGTGCCTGGTCTTCCTTCGCCCGCTTAGATTGTGCTTAATTCTGTGCTTCCCTGCAAACATGCAATCACTGGCTATCTTTAGACGTGTTGTGGTGTAACTTCACCTCAGGAGAGACAGAACATTACAGCTGGTTTACATTTCCCTTAACAAAACACACACACTCAGAGATTAGGCATGTTGTTTCCTTGAATTCTGTGGCAGCTCTCCTCTTGTTTTTGTTGTTTTCAGGTTGGGGATAGTAGAGATTGCTGAATAGGGGGTTGACATGTTTGTAGGGAAGAAGGCCCATTTGAAGGTAGAAGAACTTCCGATTATTGGGCTGAGTGTGTGCTGCATTCCCAGTTCTTCCTTCTGCTTCCCTTCTTCTCAGCTCTGGTGGCACATTAGAATTGGGGGCAGGAGTTACCCACACCCACCCCATGCTTCCACAGAGATTCTGATTTGATTGGTCTGGAGTGGGAACTGAACATTGCTGTATTTTTTTGAGGCTCATTGTTGATTCTGATGAGCTTTATGTATAGCCTGGGAAGGTCGACCAAATAGCTAATCTTAGAGTATAGTGAAATATAGTAATGTTTTGCCTCTTCTCCCTCTCTCAGTTCACATACCCCAAAAGTGGCATATATAAAGCACGTGGTAGTTCTTCCTCAAATTGAGAATTGCCTGAATTTTATGAGCAGTGACAGCTATTGCTCTCGTGTGGCGTTTGATGCTCAATTTGTCTCTACTTTCCTTCTTTTGACTTCTCTTTGTGGGGAGCCCCTTGTCTGGGAAGAACCCAGTTATGGGGTCTGTTGAGGGCTTCTCTAATCCCCTGGGCCTCTTTCCAAGCCCCAGGCACTTTTCTCCAGAAAAGCTGAGAGTGGGGAAGTGCTCAGACCATAGCCTGCCATCACCCTGCCGGCAGGTGTTATCCCCACTGTGAGGATGACTAGCTTTCAACTTGGCTGCAGTTAGTGCCTTGGTTCACCGCTGTAATGCTGGACTCTCTCTGGGCAGGAATCTTCTGAGATTCTTAGGGCAAATGCAGGCCAGAGAAAAATGGTATAGAGCAGCTCTGAGCCTGGTTTTCTCCCAAGTAACCCAAATGAAGACTTGTTCTAAGTCTATGAGAACAAGGTGAATTGTGGGATCCAGTTGGTGTTGTTAACGCACCTGCTGTGTCCATTATAGGGAGGGTGGAAGAAGTGGTCTGTTTGGTCCATTCGTCCTGTGGCCTCTGGGCTTAACCGTATGTCTCGTACTTTCTTTAATGGGCAGGTGTGAGAGGAGTGGGTTGACCCATCATTCTACCTGGGGTTATGATATCACGGGATTTTTTGTGGTGTTTAATTTGTTTTGTATAATTCATTCTATCCTGATTAAATAGCTCTCAATGAGCATTTGATGCTGGCCTGTCCCCTGAGGCAGAGCTTACAGCTTTTCCTTTGAGCAATTAGGCCACAGATCTGGAAAATGTTCTTTAACTGCTTGAATATTCTCTACCTAATTTCTACTCCCTCCTCTGTCTACTTTCCCTTTCTGGTCCTCTCTCAGACTGCCATTACTTTTGTATTCATGCATCCTTGGGTTTATGCTATCTTTGCACCTTTCCTTGTGATGAATTTATTTTTTATTCTTTTACTCCCAAGTATGTTATATATTTCCATATATTCTGCCACTAGACTTGACTATTTCATGGAAGTAGTAGTTCTTCTCAGTTCCCTTTGCTGTTTGGGTTTGGTTTGGCTTTTCTAAAGTTGTGTTGTATGGATTTAATAGTTTTCATCAGGATCAGTTCTTCCTCCTCTTCCTCCTTCCTGCTTTCTTCTTCCTTTTTTAATTTTAGAGATGGGGTCTCTCTATGTTGCCTAGGCTGGAGTGCAGTGGCTATTCACAGACATGGTCTTAGTGCACTGCAGCCTCAAACTCAAGCAGTTCTCCCACCTGAGCCTCCTGAGTAGTTGGGATTATAGGTGCAAGACACTGCACCTGGCAGGATTAGTTCTCTTCTTTATAGGCTGACTCACAAATACTTTTCACCTATAAGAAGTCTTGTTTTTGAGGTTGTATCCAACTGGCCCAGAAAGGGCAGATATTAAAATGGCAGCTGATTGATACATTGAAAAAAATCAGACCTTGGCACTAAAGACAAAAGACTCGCCCAGGTTTTTTTGTTGTTGTTGTTATTTAGTTTTTATTTCATAATCATAAACTTAACTCTGCAATCCAGCTAGATGTGGAGGGGAATAGGAAAATATGGAACCCAAAGAACTGTAGCGAGAGCACAAAGATTACAGGATATTGCGAGCAAATGGGGTAGGGGGTGCTCTCCTGAGCTACAGAAGGAATGGTCTGGTGGTTAAGATAAAACATTTAAGTCAAATTTATTAGAGCTGTCCACAGTCAGCAATGGTGATCTTCTTGCTGGTCTTGCCATTCCTGGACCCAAAGCGCTCCATGGCTTCCACAATATTCATGCCCTCTTTCACCTTGCCAAGACCACATGCTTGCCATCCAACCACTCAGTCTTGGCAGCGCAGATGAAAAACTGGGAACCGTTTGTGTTGGGTCCGGCATTTGCCATGGACAAGATACCAGGACCTGTATGCTTCAGGATGAAGTTCTCATCATCAAATTTCTCCCCGTAGATAGACTTGCCACCAGTGCCATTATGGCGTGTGAAGTCATCACCCTGGCACATAAACCCTGGAATAATTCTGTGAAAGCAGGAACCCTTATAACCAAATCCTTTCTCTCCAGTGCTCAAAGCATGGAAGTTTTCTGCTGTCTTTGG